TTGAGTCCGTGATTTCTTTTTTTATCTTTTTAATAGTTCGTTTGACGAAATTTGCGGCATCATTGTTGGGAGCGTAGATATTCAGGCAAGATAGAATTTAACCTTAGTAAAGTGATATTTTAAGATGATTAAAGAACCAATTAGAGGCAATGAAAAATCAAGGGAATTTTGTAGTGCTCCAAGAGCAGGATGACAAAATCTGGAGAGTAAAAGGAGGATAATTATCTCTTAGAAGGGGAGGGGAACATATTGCCAAGGGCTGAGAAGCAAAAAGAGAGCCTCAAAATGTTTGCCTTGGGCCACTGAAAAAAAATGATTATGCTCAGGAAACAATCTAGCATAGGGAAGGAGGAAGCCAGATTCAATTGTGCCCATGTTGAGGTAATTGTGAGACATTGGAAAAGGCACAGATGAGACATAGCTGTAAATACACATATAAAAGTTCAGACCCACCCATTAGGCATTGATAACATTTGTATTAAATAGTAAACCTATAGAGGAAAGTAGAGACTACCTGGGAATTCTGATCATAATTCAGAAGGCTCACTCTGAAGAGTAAGCCTGTAGTCTTTATGAAAAAAAAGAAAAAGCTGCCTATGTGCAACATAATAAAACATTCATATCTGACCCTAAAAACTCACACTTTTTTTCCAAAGACCCATGCTTCTATAGGACTCAGAATCTGTGGAGGGCTTATACTCTAACTCATAAACCTATTGGCAATGACAGTTATAGAGGCTGTGGGAAGTGAAAGCTGACCTTGGCATTTCAACAGCCATCTTCAGAGGGGAAATGAGACAAAACAACATCTTGAGGAGTGGAGAATCTATGACAAATCAGAATGGGTGTTCTAACATCTACTGTGAATTGTGCATGCCCAAGACTAACATGTCTCTTTTAATTTCTTCCTCCTAGCTTCGTTTAATTGCCTCTAGAAAGAAAAGTGGTTCTTTTCAGTTGTATACAAGTTTTGGTTACCACGGTGAATTATGCCAAGGATGATCTTGGCAAACTTATTTTTCTGGGCAGGGCAATGAGTTGATAGTCTACAAATAAGGTCCAAACAAATTCATATGCATGCCAAAGGGGGAGAGTGGCCTAAAAAACTTTTTCACACATTGCTATAAGGTAGGAGCTGGAGACAAGACTTGGAAAGTGAGAGAAGATAATAGAAAGAGACCGAAGCAACCAACAGTAAAGATCTCCAGCAATCTACCTGACAGGGACATGCAAGTACCCAGGGTCTTCTGTTAAGTGAATCTGGTGGCAAGATGTGTCTAAACAAGAAATGTCAAAGAGGTCCCCTGGGATAAGGACCCTGGTTTATGAGTTTGGGCTCTAGCATTACATTTTGTATACCCAACATCCAAAGGAGTGGAGCTGAGAAGGGACAAAAGGAGATTCAGAAACAGGGGACCAGACAGCAGGCCACTTGCTAAAACAAGGAAGCAAAACGGGGTTTGGTCTCAAGCCAATAAATCCAGTGACTCAGCTACAGGAAATTAGCATGAAAGGACACACCAACAGCATGGCTTACTCACCTAATGGATTAATTTATTGATTAAGATCAAAGGTCTAAAAGAATAAGTTTTTTTAAGTTAACACTACCCTGTAACATTTTGTTATCTAGTCCTCTTCCATTAATCCTTATCTTTATATATATATATATATATATATAGCTACTTAGCTTTATCCCTCTTAACATTTATTACATTTTCATGTAGACATTCTCCTGACTAAATTTGTTCCAATTGTTTCTACAAAAGGCAGATTGCCTAAGTACTAGACGGAATCACTCTATCACAAGGGAACATACCCCTTTCTTTTTCCTCAGCCTTTGGGGTGCAGATCTTCATTTCTCACCCAGAAACTTCTTAGATGAGTGGGGAAACACTAAATCCAGTGCATATGACACCGAAACTATTAATAGATTGTGTTTGTAACAAAGTTGAAGTAGAAAACAGAAGTGTTCCAAAAAGAGAAGTATGAAATGGAAAGGGAAAAAAAAAAAGAAGCAATATATTCTGCCTTCCAATTCTATGACTGGTATGAAAGGACATATTGCAAAAGCACGAGACATCTTTCTGGTACTTTCAGCTCCATGAATTTGGATCTTTTGAGTTGTTTTATCCAGCAGTTGTATGGAAAAAATATTTTAATTAGACCTTTTTTCTTTTTTGCTCAGAACCAGCTCCTCCAAAATCACTTTTTGCCGTGAATCAAACCCAGACTTCCGTGACTTTGCTGTGGGTGGAAGAGGGCATAGCTGACTTCTTCCAAGTCTTCTGTCAACAAATTGGCTCCAACCAGGAAACCAAACTCCAGGTACTGTACATTTGTGCCCCTCGAGTTATCTCTGTGAGGTGAAAATCTTTCTTTTCTGGAGTATGGAAAATAGGAACTGACCATTTACTCCTTTGTGCCTCCATGAGAGAAATGTGCAGTAAGCTTAACACAAACCCGAAAGAATAAGAACCAAGTTGACAGAGCTAACACTTCCTGCATCTTTCTGTTTGTGTGTCTGTTTGTGTCTGTAACACTTCACCTACTTCAGATTCTACTAAAGAATGAGAGGAAATGAATCTTTTTTCCTATTGGCTATTAAGTTGACCGAGGAAATGTGGACACTGTCATAAAACATCATTTAACAAATATGAACTGGTTGTCAGATTTTTGAATGTTGTTGTAAAGATTCTAACAGACAGTATCCATATTTGGCTACATATATTTTTATAACACCATGGGTATCACATAATTATAGCTATGACTAGACTTAAATATAAGTATCATAAAAGAGATTCACACTAACGATGAATCCCATCCAATTAAGGAGAAGTTTTTTCTTGGGAAATGAAGGCTGACAGAGGTGGCCTTTAAAGTTATAGAATCACACAAAAACAGGTATTCTAAAGACTAGGTTGATAAATCCAGGGTTGTTCCCCTGGGTTAAAATGATTGGAAATAGAGAGGTCAACCAATAGTTAAGGTTAGCAGAGACACAGAGAAAGATATTTTACAGCAAGAGGTGGAAGGAAAAAGGCAGGCAGGTTTTCAAGAGACTTCACATAATACAGTGTACAGACAAATACTATCAACATGAATAAATTATGCTTTCTAAATAATGAGGTCTATGCAATCTATAAAAAAGATTGCTCGTGCTACAAATCTTTTCACACCAAGGGTTAAGGTCATTTGCTTGGAGTCCTTCCCCCTTTCAGTATTCCTGTGTACAAATCTATTTCTTTTTATTTTACCTAGACAGCTGAACCTTTTTCTATTTTAAGAATCCTTTTTTAGTAAAAAAAAAAAAAAGGGGGGCTCTGCTGCCCAATGAATTTCCCCCCCTGTAACTACTGTGAGATCTCATTTTAAGAAAAGAATCCTTAGGTAATTACTTCCCACAACTGAATCCTGTTAGCAAAAATCTTTCTGTTCTTAAAATCATGTTGATAGTATAGTGAGAAAATGGATGTAGGGAATAAGTGTAGCTGGCAGAAGTGTTAGAGATCTTCGTTTGGGGGTGGGGTGGGGTACTGTCATGCTGGCTGTTCTTTTGAGAGTGTACTCGCTAACCTAGCCATTTACCCACCCAAATTAACAACTTGTTCCACTCAACAACAGAGCACTATTGTTGTTTCTAACACACAGTCGCCAGCCCTTTGGGGAGTGCTTGTCAAAGGCTGAAAATGCACATCAATGGGTAGGGTCCTCAGTGTATAAGGCACTGCTACAAATAAGAAAAGTTAGAGACCAGTGACTCAGAACAAATAGTTCATGGAAAATAAATACGAATGATTCTTAAATACATATAGAGATGATCGACCTCCCTCGTGATGAAAAATGCAAACTAAAATCATCATGAGATTGTTTTCACTAAAATGATTGGCAAAGTTCAGTTTGAAAATAGACTGCATTGGAAAGGGTGTAGGGAACAGACATTATTATCTGCTGATGATAGGCAGACCTTTTAGAAACTGGACAATTTGACAATAAATCATAAAACCAAACCCACTGCCATAGAGAGCAGAACTACGCCTTAGAGTTTCCAAGCCTTTAAATCTTTATGGGAACATGCAGCCTTGTCTTCCACGGAGCAGCTGGTGGGTGTTAAGCATCAACTTTACAATTAGCACAACTATGCTTAATGCACGGCACCACCAGGGCTCCTTAATTTGGCAATAGTTTCCAAAATTAAAAACGTACAACTTTTTGATATAGTACTTCAACTGTTAGACATGTATAAATGTATGTGCGTATATATGCAATAGATATAATATGTGTGTATAATGACAACTGAGGGGAAACAATGACCATAGAATATATAAAGTATGTTATCGTTTATGTTTTATGTTTATCTTACAGGTTTTTACATCTATAAAATACATATAAAAAGAAAAAAAATCCTAAAAATAATGGTTTCTTCCATGTAAGAGAACTGGGTAGATAGGAAACGGGAAAAGAAGGAAACATTTCTCACTGCTATACTTTTGCATCTTTAAAACTTTTAATTATATTTCCTACTCCATTGTGAAAAAGAATTTAAAAACCCAAATATGAAGCTACCATGAAAGCGCTCCCATTTCTGCCTCTCCAGGAACCACTTTCTGTTTCTTCTCATGTTGTGACCGTCGCTGGCCTCCTTCCTGCCACCGCCTACAACTGCAGCGTCACCAGCTTTAGTCATGACAGTCCCAGCACCCCGACATTCATAGCCGTGTCGACACTGGGTAACTACACACGTCCGTGGAATCGGTTGTCCTGGCCGTTCTGCCTTCAGATTTTCCTTACCTATCTTTTATATGCATATAGAAGAGAAATATGAAATACCAACCATTATAGTCAGGTAGCTCTTGACTTTAATCCTGATCTACACTTATTAGCTCTGTAATTGAGGACAAGATCCTAAGCTTCTTCTTTGAATCTTTCTTTGCTCATTTGTGAAACTACAGTAAGTACCTTGTTGTGTTGTTTGGCAGCTTAAAATGACAGAATCTAAAGTGTCACCTAGCTGAGGGCTGATAACTGCACAGCCAACATTTTGAAACCACCAGGGGCTTCCTGGGAGAAAGATGAGGCTTTCTACTACCATGAAGAGTTAGTCTGTGCATGGCAACTCTCCTCTAATCCACAGGGTTGCCATGGGTCAAAGTCGCTCGATGGCAGGGAGAGTGAGAGACGTGCTGCCTAAGTGTTGCTGCTATCCTCAATGTCATCATCACTGCCATTTGTCACCTACGGACTTGGCTAGGAGGCATAGTATGCTAATCCAGTCTAGTATATCAGGGCAGCCTTGTCGCTCGGCGGTCATTGATCAAGTAATAGCAATATGATATTGCTGGGTCTAGCCAGGAAGTTTTCTAATCTAGCAGGAAGCATAACTTGGGAAATTAGAAAATAAAGAAAATCTGGGAAACTGTTCATTTCCTTCTTCTTTCCCTGAGTGGTTTCGCTCCCTAGGCTAAAAGTCGGGTTCTGCCCTCTGAGACCCCCTGGCATCCATGCGGTCGTGTCCTCATATTATCTTTTACTGAGTCCATTCGCATTTCTGTGACATTCGTCATGCCCTGCGACTGCAGTGATGTCTCTCGTTGAAAAAGCAATGGTCAGACATTTACTTATTATAACTGAGTCCTGGTAGCAAAAGCCTATCTTCAGAATCCCCCCTCCTAAAGGTTTGTGAAAGAGATATTTCGTATTGTCTGCTCTGTTTGCTTGGAAAGGGTAATTTTTTATTCTGTCTTTTAAAAATAGCACCAAATAATATTTCTTGGTCTTTTACTCCCACAACCCTTTTTAATGCTTTTCTAAACATGGTTTGATCTCCCTGTGATCTTCATGGCTATCCAGTGAGTGGATATTATTGAACTTCTTTCCCAGGGAGACAAATGAGTCCCAGAGAGGAAGATGAAATGGCTCCCCAAGTGGCAGTTAGCAGGGATGGGAATGCGACTCAATTGTCCTGACCCTGATTCGAGCGCTCTTTCCGTGCAAGTTGTTTCCCATCCATTAGCACCAAGCCAGCCTAAATGGGAAGTCGCAAATGCTCAAAATGGCAGGGATTGCTATAGGCTAGTTCTCTAACTGTGCTCGATGCAAAGGATGGGATGATTTTCCTCTGGCTCATTTTCAAAAAGAGTTCTATATAAGAAGCCCTGGTGACATAGTGACTTAGGCATTGGGCTACTAACCATTATTGAAGCATTTTTTAAAAATCACTTATCATAGTTCCATGCCTTGATCTCACCTTCTTTCTCTCCCGGTGAAGAACTGCATAATGTGTACCGTGCCATTGTAAGCACACCATTGCAGAAAGTATATTAAAGAACATAACCTCTGTTCTTAAGGTCCTTGAAGCAGTTAAGAGCGTTAGGCTCTTAAATTGTACAGATGGAAAGTTCTACGCATATGGTTGCAGATCATCAGAACGTTTGCTTCGAGCAACGTGTTAACTGCTATAGCAGATGGTAGCTTGCTAATGTCTTTTTCATATACATTATTAGCATACGGTGAGCAACATATACAGGTGTGCTTTCTGACTTAAAATCTTGACCATAAACAAAGAGCCTGTCTCCTTCTAAGCTTTGAAAATGTTAAACAGTGGTAGTTGTACACGATAGTGGCTTCTAAAATTTTTACTTTCAAATGAATTTAGACTATGGCACAAGCTTTCTTTACCTTGTACAGTTTTCTTTTACAAGAACATCCTAAAGATAGGTTTTGAAATGGATTAAAATCTTTCAGACACCTGAGCTTCCATTAGGAATTGACATTGCCTAAGTTATATTTTATCAGGAAGAGGTCATGTTAGCATGAATAAAAAGTGTTGTCATCATCATCATAATTCTCTGCACTGAAGATCAGATGAAAATACTGAATGTTTCCTTTAGTTTCCATGTAATAAAATCCATAATGAAAATGCCTGGCTTATCTCTTTAGTTACAGAGATGAATCCCAATGTGGTAGTAATCTCAGTGCTGGCCATCCTTAGCACACTTTTGATTGGACTGCTGCTTGTGACCCTGGTCATTCTAAGGAAAAAGCATCTACAGATGGCTAGGTGAGTGAACAGATGGGTAGGTGAGTGATATTCTGTTAACTTTTATCCATAACCTGTAAAATACTTTTATTTCTCATCCATGTATGACTTTTGAAGAACTATTGTACAGTGGTAGATTTTATTTGATTTTTAGTGTGTATTTTTATTTTGTGGATTCTGAGACTTTTAAATATTATTTAGAAAATATGACCACTGAGATGGGAAGTCAAAGGATCCTTTGCTTTCACAAAAGCAGACTCTGTGCTTTTATTATTTTCATTTTACATAGCCCAGAAAAGTTTTTAATATTTCATTTGGGTACTCTAAAAACATTTTGGAGTAAGAGAAAGATCTATGCCTGTTCATTATGATTAATAAAAGTATTACTAAAAATGGAGACCACAAAAAAGAACAAAATAAATCCTTCTCACGTGAATTAAGTCCCCACTGAACTTCCACGAACCATTGGCTAAATATGTGAATAGATTTGTCCTCAGACAGAGTGCATTACAAACTGGATCACTGCAGATATAATTAGCTTAAAAATTGAACATCTTATCATCTGTTTTCCATTTTGATCTATTTTTAATTTGGTCTAGTTTTTATTATTTCTGCTTTCTTTTAGATAAAGTTCATCTGTTTTATTTTCTTTTTACTGGTGGTTTTGGGGGGGTATTTTGGGGTATCATTTTCATTATATGAAACCCAGGATAGGTAAATCTATAGAGACAGTTACCAAATTAATAATTCCTTAGGGAAATGACAGGGGAGCATGAGGGGATGTGAGAAGCTAATAACAGTGGAAAACCTCTCCCCCACTCTCATGACCTCAATTCTACCAAACAAAACTGACTAGACCAGAACATATACACTGCTACAGATAAGAACCAGCAACACAGGAATCAAGGACAGATAAACCCCTCAGGACCAATAATGAGAATAGAGATACCAGGTGAGTAAGGGGTAGGTGGAGGAAGAAAGGGGGAATCAATCACAAGGATCGACATAGCAGGACAAACCACAGAAAAGTGTGAAGGAAGACAGTGGATGATGTAAGATATGAAAATAATAATTTATAATTTATCAAGGATTCATAAGGGAGGGAAGGGAAGGGAGGAAGGGAGGGAAATATGAGGAGCTCATAGCAAGGGCTCAAGTAGAAAAAAAATGCTTTGAAAATGATGATAGCAACATATGTACAAATGTTCTTGACACAATGGATGGATATATGGATTGTGATAAGAGCTGTAAGAACCACCCCCAAAAAGTATTGAATTTTTTAAAAAGTGGAAACAAGAATGAAGAAAATGATACAAAATTTATTGCGGTGTTGTGCACAACTCCTTTTAATATATTTAAACCATTGAATTGTGTTGTACATGAAGCATATGTCAATAAAACAGTGTTTAAAAATGCTTCTCCTCAGCCTGGTAGGGCTTGATCA